CCAGCTCACCCTGGCCCATGATCACATCCGCCTACTCCAAGGAGGTCAACCCCTACCTCCCCACCTCGCGGCACAGCCTGCTGCCCCTTTCATCTATCAACAGCATCAAACACAGGCCGATGCGATGCATTTCACACTCCCACCACTAGCCACCACGATGTGTCAGGGACCGTTGCCCTGGCTCCCCGCTCTTTCTAGTGGTTTTGCTGGTGCCACTACTTCTTCTGTCCTCTTGTCACAGTGTGCCCTCCCCCTCCCGCCTCATTACCAGCCCCCGCCTTATGTACCTCGGTACCACCCCGACAGAGTCCCCCAGTTCGATGGTAAGGCCTCTGAACTCCAGAGTTGGATCACCACAGCCGAGGAGCAACTTCGGTACCATGGGGTAAACATGGACTTGTGGCCTACGGAGATGTCTGCCCGCTTCATCGGTCGAGCGACTTCCATTTGGCACGACTTTCTCGCTCTTCGTACTCAGCAGGGCATTCAAGCGAGTATGACGTAAGCGGAGTTTCGTGATTTTCTCCAGCAGTACTTCTCTCACCCGGCACCTACCCGTGACCCGATCACACGGATCTCTTAGATCAGATGGCTTGGTGGCAACAATGCCTTAGAGTCGTACATCACGACATTCCACCGCGTTCGCGCCCAGATCCCCCCCTCCCTCATAGCCGACGACGCTTTGGTCCAGCGTTTCTGTGTCGGGTTACCCCAACCCTTCCAACTTCAGATGCTGGCATACACGGTCCATACCCTCCCCGAGGCCTTCAACATTGCTCGGGCCATCCAGCTCACCTATGCACCTCTTGTGAGCTCCACATCTGGGCTTGGTGCCGCACCTCCCGCCTCATCGTCTGCCCCTGGCACATCTCGCCCCCGCCAGTTCTCCACGTCTCGCCGCGGTCCCCGCCGAGCTCCTGGACGTGCCTTCTTCCGCCGTGTCCAGACTATGCTCCGCGAGTCGTCGAGCGTTGAGGAGGGTACTGGTTCGGACGGATCGCATAGCGACCCAGACCAGGAACATGACCCCCAGTCCCTTGTGGATGGCGAAGACCCCGACCAGGACGAGCACCTCGCCCGCGCCTTCTCTGCTTTCCTGAGGCAGCGCCATCCCTCCTCATCGAGGACCCGCTCTTCCGCCACACAGCTGCCCCTCCCATCGGGCTACGCCATCCCCCGTGCCCGATTGACTATCGCGGAGAGTGAGGACTTTCGTACACGAGGTATATGTACCCGTTGTCGCCTACCTGGTCACACTCCGTCCACCTGCCCCTATGCCGACGCCCTCCAGCGTCACTTTGCTCAGCAGTCCCGCCCTCAGCCAAACCCCCCCGCCTCGACCTCCAGCTCCGCAGCCACCTAGCGGTGATCTCCCGCTCCCCTGATCCTCCCACAGTAGCAGGCATACCCGCCCGCGATTCTACCTTTGTGTCGCTTGCTACTCTTTCTGAGGCCTCGGACCTGACTTCATCATTGGTCGCTTCTAGCGTCGCTGGCCCACCCTCCAGTGCCTCCACTTCTTCGCCTAGTGTCTCTCATGATCCTCCTCCTCCTCGTCCTCCTACTAGGCGTGCTCTTCGCACGGCGCGCTGCAGTGCTTCCCTTGTTGCAGTTGAGGATATCATCCACTTCCTGGACCTTGAGTGTGTTAAGGTCCACAAGAAACGTCTCCGCCTTAAAGAGCGCACCCTGTCCGCGGTGTCTCAACGCCTACATAATCTCGATCGCACCTTACTGGTTATTCCAGTGCGCCTCGGGACCTCTATTAGAGAGTATCGCGCACTATGGGACTGTGGCTCTACTGGCGACTTCATTCATCCTCGCGTAGTTAAGGAAGTATCCCTCTATACATCCCCCTACCCTTCCACTGTCACTGTCACGCTTGGCGACAATAAGGCCAAATCATTCGTCGATTCGGTGGTGCCTGATCTTCCATTCTCCTTCCCCTTGCGGATGCCCCACAGCCTTTGCAAGGCCCCTCGGTTCCATGACCAGTGGACCTTCGACGTCGTGGAAACCCTATATGATCTTGTTCTCGGCACTGCCTACTCCCATCAGTTCGCCCATGCTGGCCCCGATTGGACCCACAACGACCTCGTCCTTGGCGCCAAGGATGGGAAGTAATACCGTATTCCGTTGTTGGGCAAATCGGACTCTACATCCCCCTCTCCTGTCAATGTTGCCATCTTGACACCAACCCAGTTCCACCATATCCTTCGTCAGCCTAATGCCGAACTCTACATTGTCGACACCACGGATCTCCTTGTCTGTAACTCTATGCATCAGGACGCTGAGTTGGTCGAGCTCGACCCACCACTCCCTAAGCCCCCTTAGCCTCCTGATTCTTCAGCCCCCTCATCCCCCTTCACCCCTGCCACCTCATCTCACCTTCTTGCATCTTGTACCACGGAGGCGCCATTGGTACCTATTCCCATACCGACTCCTTCCACCCCTGCTTCACACGCCGCTGCAGCCGAGGAGTTTGACAACCTCCTATCGACTTTGCAGCCTAGCGTTGCGGCCCTCCTTTGCGAGTATCGCGATGTTTTTCCTCCGACTGTCTCTTATAGCAGCATCCCTCCTATGCACGATATCGAGCACCACTTCCGGCTCGAACCTAACTACCGTATTCAGCATCGCGCACCATATCCCCTCTCGGTTCCCGAAGCCAAGGAACTTAAACGCCTAATTGACGAGTTGCTTCGTCAGGGCTTCATTAAACCGAGTACGTCCCCAYGGAGTGCACCTGTCCTCTTCGATCACAAGAAGGATGGCACTCTCCGCCTCTGCCTCGATTACTGCGGTCTCAACGAGTATACGGTCAGAAACAGTTACCCTATGCCTCGTGCGGATGATCTGTTCGACTGCCTCTCCGGCCACCACTTCTTCATGAAGATCGATCTTCGTAGCGGATATCACCAGATCCGCGTAGCCGAGGAGGACCAGCCTAAGACCACTTTCCGTTCTCGTTTTGGGCACTACGAGTTTACCGTCATGCCTTTCGGTCTCCGTAATGCCCCTGCCACCTTCCAGACGGCTATGAACACGATGTTCCAAGACCTTCTTGAGGACTCGGTTCTAGTCTATATTGACGACATCCTGGTCTACAGTCGTACCTTAGAGGAGCATCTGACCCACCTTCGCACTGTCCTCGAGCGATTACGCGACCATGGGTTTTATGCGAAGCTCTCCAAATGCCACTTCGCTCAACCCAAAGTCGACTTCCTTGGGCATCAGGTCTTCGAGCACGGACTCCATATGGACGATTCGAAGATTCAAGCCATTGTCGACTGGCCCACTCCTGCCTCTCTTCCTGCGCTGCGTAGTTTCCTTGGGTTGACCAACTACTATGGTCACTTTCTTAAAAACTACGCGCAGTATTCTTCCTAGCTTACCCCTCTGACTCACGGACGTCCACCTTTTCATTGGACCCCGGCTCACGAGGATGCTTTCCGCTCTCTCAAGCGGCTTGTCACGTCAGCTCCTGTCTTACACTTACCCGACTACTCGCGTTTATTCATCGTCACCACCGACGCATCCGACCTCACTATTGGAGTTGTTCTCTCCCCGATCTACCCAGCCCCCTCTACTTCTCCTGATTCCACAGATTCCCGCCTCCCTCGCATTCCTCGCTTCCCTCCCCCACCTCCAGCAACTGCGGCTCATCTTGCACCCATCGAGCCCACCCCTCCAGGGGCCCTACGCCCTTATATTCCTGACGTCGCTGATGACGGTACAGTCGAGTCTCGCGATGGAGAGTGTCTGGTTGCTTATCTATCTCGACAGCTACTTCCCACTGAGCATAACTATATTGCCGGCGAGCGTGAGGTCCTTGTGCTGGTCTACGCTGTTAAGAAGTGGCGTCATCATTTGCACGGTCATACTTTCACCGTTTTGACGGACAACTCTGTCCTCGCCGCCTTCCAGACGAAGCCTAAGCTCACTTCTCGTCAGGCTCGTTGGTGGCGTGACCTCTCCGAGTTCGATTTCACCATCAAGAAGATTTCAGGCGAAAGCAATCGTGTAGCAGATGCCTTATCCCGTCGCCCCGACCTTCAGTGCGAGGATCGTCAGCTATCTACTATCTCAGCTCCCACTATCCACCCTGCCTTTCTGGATGAGTACCGCCACGCATACACCCAGTGCCCTGAGTTTCTGTCCACCTACGCTGACCTACGGGCTGGCAAGTCCATCCCTAACTTCCAGCTCAATCCCTTTGGACTCCTATACTGGCTTGGTCGCCAAGGTACCCGTACTACTCGCTTATATGTGCCCTCTACTGGTCAGCTCCGTGTTCTGGCCGTCGCTGAGTGTCACGACCAGCGCGCCGCCGATCATCTCGGTGTCTTCAAGACACTTGACCGCCTCCACCGCCATTATTACTGGGAGCACCGTCGTCCCTTCACTAAGGAGTACGTCCGCACCTGCAGGATCTTCCAGGAGGCCAACATTCCCAATCACCCCCCCTACGGTCTTCTTCGGCCCTTACCCATTCCAACTCAGCCGAAGTTTCCCTCAAGATAGCTGGAGCTGTTGAACGTCGGACTTGAGTATAGGGGCAAAGACCAGTCGAACCGTCTAGTGGTTGGTTCCCACTGAAGTTTTCCCTGGAGGCAGCATGCGTTGTGTATCGAGGTGGCGAAGCATGGCGATCGTTTCGTCTGTCGGGCTGGTCGGAGTAACCGGGGAAGCGGCTGCATTGAGGCACAGGCAGGCCGAGAGGAAGGGGAGAACAGAGACAGAAAGCGGAGTGTCAGACAGGCAGAGCGAGGCAGCCTAGCTACTGGCTAAGGCAGGCAGCGGATGGACAGGCGCTAAGGCTGAGGGGTGGTGCAGCAAAAAGAAGAACGGATCTGGACGGCCTACCGCGCGAGGTGCATGCGCAGAAGGAAGGAAGGCTATGGTGGAGTTAACATCGCAGTTTTCGCCCGATCCTTGACGAAATCGGGCGATCCAAGTGTCAAAACTGGGGTTTTAGCCTAAGGCGAATGCGTTGGCGATGTTAGTTTTAGGAGGGAGTTAGTAGAATAGGCGGTAGAAGAAAGGATGGCCGTGTGAAGCTATGGCGGAGGGAGAAAACGATGGGAGTGAAAAATTTGAATCTCGCTCGATCCTTGATGGATTCAAGCGAGTTTGAATGTTAGATAGGGGTTCTTGGGTGGGGCGACCACGATGATGGACTCCGAAAGGTGAGTAAGAAAGTGTGGGAAGAGTTAGTACAGAGATATGCTACGCGAAGTTATCAAAGCTTGGATATGGTAAAGGGAAGGGAGACGATTGTGCGCCCGTTCGTTAATAGAAATAGGCGAAGAGGGAATCGTTCCTGGAATTTTGGAGGGGGGCGAACCCGAATATGAACTTAGTTTGAGCAAAGAGTTAGTAGGATGTAAGTTAATGAGGAAATGGAGTGTGTGGATGAAGTCTAGAAGGAAGACGGAGGAGAGTAAAGGTTAGTTTAAATCGACCGATTCGTGACCATTTCTGACGGTCTAAGATATTAGACTAAGGTTATAAGGTGCTATGAAGCAGTTGGTAGAACTAGATTCCGGGGAGGGACATTAGTTTGTGTGCTGCGAGGAAATAAGGTTGCGCCAGGGAGTAAAGTGGTAAAAGTATCAATGTATCTAGCCCGAATCTTGGGATAAATACGTTCGATTTTTTTTTTGTTATATTGGTAAAAATAGCGGAGGACATCTGCGGGATTGGAGACTTACCTGTTGACCCCAGCGCCGCTCTGTTGTTGGCTGAAGCTTGCGAGTATACACACACACACACACACACACACACACACAAAGGGAGAGAGAGGGAGAGCAGTGAGGAGTCGGCCACAAAGGGCCAGAGGCGTACCTGCGGAATGATGCTTTGCCCACCCGCCGGTCGATTGACGGAAAGAGTGCAGAGGTCGACCGTGAAGAGGGAGGCTTATCTGTAAGGCGCTGCCCTGTGTTGCCTAATGGAAGGGGCGGGCAGATGCGTCAAGTACCAGCTGGCGGTACCAAGGAAGGGGGAGGAGCAAGGGCGCAAAAACTGCAGCTTACCTGCTAGCCGATGCCCTTGTCACAGGCTCAGGTAACGGGGTATGACAGGTGGGGCATGAGCACTTACCTGTGGGCTTGAGCAGGGCGAAGGGGGTTACAGGTAGAAGGTTTACCTGGCCAAGACTATCCACGTCTCGTCGGACGTGGAGAGCAAGGAGTGATTAGCGGACTTGGAGGTTGCTGGTAGATGGCAGGCTGATTGTCCCATCAAACATGGGATGGAACCAGCCGGCTATGAAGGTGCAGCGGTGCTTGCGGATAGTATACTTAATGATTGGGTCGTGAAGAGGAGCCAACGAGGCGTGACTTAGAGGAGCGGGCAACCTATGCAAAGGGGGATATTGCTGCAATTCGAAGTGTCGCCAGAGAGTCACCCTTAGACAGTTTGACTTCGGTTGACCCAGTTGCTGCGCATTCTGGCCATCATTGCGGAGACCTCAGGCGCGTCAAGGGATCAAGGCCCTCTCACGCGAGTTTGAGTGAACCACTCTTGGATCTGAGAGACTCACATCCTTCTTTTTCTGCCCTTCTTACTCTCAGTCTAGTCCTTGGTTACGAGAGGAAGGCGGCAGGCGGGATTGCAACCCGTAAGTCCGCGTCAAGACTCTGTGGGGAGTCCACCCACCGATTGCGGGAGCTCTGCCGGGACTCAGGAGGAGTTCTGGAGGCAGGGAACCTTCAGGTAAATCATCTTTATTTGTATAAAACCCACTACTACCCATGTTTGCCTATCTCCCTCCAGTATGATTGTTGTATGCATGTGTTTGTCCCTATGGTTTTTGCTTTCTCTTCAGGACCTAATCAGACTAACTGGAAAGAATGTGTGAGAGTGAAGCCTAAGTTTCTACTTTGTTCTGATTGAAAGCAGACTAAGGATGAATTGGGGGAAGGTGGAAGGAAGGTAGACTGCATGCGTTTGACCGGGTCAACCAAAGCCTGAGCATTGTTTCTACTTTGAATGGCTCAGGGCTATGTTTATTTGGATGTTTTCTGAAGGACCAGGCATTGTTTTTACTGTGAATGGCCTGGCTACCTTAGTTAACTCTGAGGGTTGTCTGATTCAAGGGGTTTAAATTCTTGTTTATTTTGAGGGAGAATTTTTTTGTCTAAGGCTAAGCATTGTTTCCATGGTGAATGGTTTAGCCTGAAAACCACGCACATAATTTAAACTAAGTATAAAGGAAAGTATTTTATGTATATTTGCATGTGAATTGGCAGTTGGGCATTGTTTCTACTGTGAATGGTCCAGCGTTAAGCCATATTATTAAGAAGAGAAAAAGGAAAATACAAAGTATAAATGAAAATAGTTTGGGCAAGTTGAATATTGTTTCTACTCTGAATGGTTCAGTCCCCTGCCCATATTTGCTTTTTCTTTTGAAAACAAAGTAAGAGAAATACTAAATCTTTGGATATTAAACAGCTCAAGGCTACTAGGCATTGTTTCCATGGCGAATGACCTAGTCATCTGCCCAAAAGAAGAAAAAAAGTAGTTGTGCAACCTGTTCGTGTATATCATAAAGGCAAGTTGGGCATTGTTTCCATGGCGAATGGTCCAGCTCTATGTCTTATGTAAGATGGGTATAAGGATTCAAGAACTTGAAGATCCACGAACTATTTATATGGAATGGACTTGAGATGGTGAGAGTACTTACATTCGTGGTTTGATTTGCACGTGACTGGATGGGATGACTAGTTTGTTTGGGTTTCAGTTCCATAGGAAGTTGCTTTAGTTGCTTGCCACGTGCTGGAGTCATAGAAGTTAGTGTCAATTCCTGCATTTTCTGTAATAACGTTTTTTTACTTAGGTCAATTCCTGCATTTTCTGAGATCTTTTCTTATACTTGGCTTTGTATAAATCTTGGCAAGCTACTTTTTCTACGGGAAGCGCTGCCGAAATTTCTACAAATCCAGGAAGTTAATCAACTTTTGACTTGTCAGAGTTCAGTTTCTCTTTTCCATATATGGATTAATATAAATCTGACAAGTCTTATTTTCTAGAGGGAGTGCTGCCCAAATTTTTACTAATTCAGGGAGTTAGACAAAATTGGACTTTGAGAAGTCAAAGTTATTCTCAAAATTCTGAACTTAGCCTTGTATAAATTTTGGAATAGCACTTTTCTAGAGGGAGTGCTGCCAAAATTTCTACAAAATTAAGGAGTTAGTTAAATTCAGTCTAAAAGTTGAGCTCGAGCTGTTGTT